GTATATATTGCATTCCCACAGGCCAATGGCAATGAAGAATGAAGATGAGACTGCAAGAAAGTCAGCCACAACCAAGTACCTACAGAGCATAAGGCAGGTCCTGAAGAGCCAACTGAATGGCAAGAACAAAGTCTGAGCCATCAACACATATGCAGTCCTTGTCATCAGATACCCTCCTGATACAGCCTGGCAAAAGCCACTGATATCAAGACTCAAAAGTGCCTCACAATGCATGTCCAGCATCCTGAGACTATTCACTAAGAGAAAGGAAGGTGACAGAGGGTTAGTGAGCTTCCAAGGCGATATACAGAATGAAACAACTAAGATTCTATATTACATTAGGAGGAAAGCCCCCAATGATAAACTGATGAGTGAATGTCTTGGGCAACAGCAGAAACTCAGTGTGGAAAAGGCAGCACAAAAAGAGCCATCATGAAAAGATGGATGGACTGGACTGAAGGCCAGCGCAGAGGCACTAATCATGGCAGCACAAAAACAGGCCCTCAGACCAAAAGCAATAGAGGCTGAAGTTTACCATACCAGACAAGTCCCAAGTTGCAGGCTGTGCAAAGACGCCCCAGAGACAGTCCAGCACATAATAGCAGGGTGTAAGATCCAGGCAGGCAAAGTATACATGGATTGCTATAACCAAGTGGCTGGAAAATATACAGGAACATCTGTGCTGACTTTGGACTGGAGGTCCCACAGTCAAAGTGGGAGACTCTACAAAGGAGGGTGGAGAATGGAAGGGTTAAGATACTGTGGAACTTCCATATCCAGTCTGACAAACAGGTGCTGGCTGACCATTGACCAACAAGACATTGTTGGAAAGCAAATGAAGAAAGCAGTGTTAGACGTAGCAATCCCAAGTAACAGTAACATCAGAAAGTAGGAGCACAAGAAGCTTGAGAGATACCAAGGGCTGAAAGAGGAAATACAGATGTTGTGGAGTCAGTGTCCATAATATCAGTAGTCATCGGAGCACTTGGTACTGTGACACCCAAACTGTAAAAATGGCTCTAGTAGATCCCAGGAAAAACCTCAGAAATCTCTGTACAGAAGAATGCAGTCCAAGGTGCAGCTAAGATACTGCTCAGAACCCTCCGACTCCCAGGCATCTGGTAGAGGTCCAAATTTTGAATTAAACTGGAACCATCCAAGTAGAAGAGTAGGTCTTGAACGTAATGCACCCTTTGGTAACCCATTATTACAGTGCAAATGATGTGCAGTCTATCAACAGTCCTGTTCTGGCCTCCAGCATTAGGTTAAATGTATTTCATAGCAGGTTTTCCACAATTTATTTGGAGGAAAATTACAATATCTGTAGCTTTTATTATTAATATTATTTTCCATTTTCCATCCCCTGCGTGTGGGTAAATGCCAGACTTGACTGTCGTTTTATAAAGTGAGCAAAAACATACTGTGTGTGGAAAAAGGTTAATGTATTCTCAAGTTAATGATTTAAGCTGGAAAGGGTTCCATTTTTTTATTAAAGTATACTCTAAACAAGAATTATTCATGTAGATGTCGTCTTATACATACCTTTATGTCCCTTACTAGATTTACCTAATTTTCAATTGAGTGCTTTGGGCCCTTTGTCTTAAATGTATTGTGACATCAATTCATTCTTCTGTTTTTTTCCATATGATCTTATGTCAAAATATGCACATTTGTACATATTCATGAAATAAATTGGAACTCAGAGGCTATGAATTATTTAGTGTTTACTTCACATTGCTTCTATCCAATATAAAAAGAAATAAAATTACTGCTGACATTGTCTTATATCATCAGCATCCACAAACAGGAAGACATTACCCATTTTAAAATGAGGTTCTATGAAAATAGTATGAACAGTTAAAATCGTATCTGTTATAGATGTCTCCTTGCCTCTACAATGTCAGTTTGGAGGAATAATGTTAAATTCAGAAAAGTCTTACAAGCTAACAGCTAGTTTGAGTGGGACCAACATCAATGTGGATTGTATTAAAACAACACTCTTAAAAATCTGATCTTGGTTCATGCTTACGCTGTTTTACAGTCAGTTCTAAATGACAGTGTTATTTGCATACTTTTATTTTTCACAACATTAGCAGTTACAGCAGCAATTAGCTCTAGCACAGAGGTACAGCCTGGAGCACCATCAGCAAAAATAATGCAATGTTTCTACCAAAATAACCGTGTCATGCAAAACTGTTGGCATTGCGTGGTTTAAAATATAGGATTTGCTTGAACCTCAATAAAATTTTCAATACTGGTCTTGTTTTAAGCTGACAAAATCTGCTTTAAATGTAGGTCTATGAGCTAATTTTGGGTTGTCAGAGCAGACCCACTTCCAATGTGGCTTTTGTCATAAAAAAAACAATTTTATTTTGAAAATTTGAATTGATAGATGTGTTAGGGCTAGCTGTTGTTGCAATCAGAACTATCCATCCATCCATTATCTTTTACCTGCTTCTTCCATGTTGGGTCATGAGGGTCATCGGTAACTCTTGGGTCGGGTCGGACTCGGAAAAAATGGGTCAGATTTTTTCCAAGTCCGAGCAGAAGGGTAGCTAAACCTGAAAAGACAAAAATAGAACAAGTATCCTGAAGAAGATTTTGAAGATAATATTTTTGCAGGATGACTGAAGAGATCTCAGTGCATTCCAGGTGTGAAAGTTACAACAACCAAAAGCCATAGCACTCATCAGCAATGGGAGATGTGCATTTTGATAAACGAACGGCAAGGTCTGCAAAAGGAGTTAGACTGCAAAATAAAAAATGAAATGAAAAACAACAGTGTGAACGCTTCAGTTTTTCAAATTATACAAAATGTTCTTCATATTTGAGGGTTCTCTGCAAAATACTCTATAAATTCACCTTAACGGCATTACATATGTGTTTACTTACTGAACACCTTTTGTTTCAGGCTCAATCTGGGTAAGAATGACCAGCTGACGTTCTACGACGGCGACGACCTGACGGCCAACATCCTGGGTCAGTACAGCGGCACACGGCCCCACTTCAAGCTCTACACCTCAATGGCTGACGTGACCATCCAGTTCCAGTCTGATCCTGCCACCAACATTTACGGTTACAACAATGGATTTGTGGTTCATTTCTTCGGTAAGACAGCTGTTCTGTTCTTTTTATAAACTCTAATAGATTTTTCTCTGTGTAGCGCACATCAATAACTTTATTTATTTATTAAACGAACAAGTAAAATCAATCATTTATTAAAACAACACAAAGAAACAAGAATACTGAATGTTATCTGCAGAACAGAGCTGTTCTTCTTATGCCTCTTTGCCTCTTCCTTCATTTCTCATACTGTGCATCTGTCATGTATTTTATTTTTATTTTTTGACTTACCTGAGGTGAAACAGAATTAGGTAACAGCAAACAAAGGAGCACAGTAATAAGATACACATTGACATCAGCTGTTTTCTTGCTGCTGGCCATGTATGCAGCACTGAGGGAGGCCCAGATTGACGGGTGCCAAACCACATGCTGAGCTCCTTCCAGCACACATCACAAGCCTCTATTTACATTTTTCTCTCTAACCGTGGCTGTTTAGAGCACAAAAAAACAAATAAATACACACAATTGTGCATTCACATTGATTCCCTGCAGAGGTTGTTGCATACAGACGCCTGGCTTTCCTCGAGGCTCTTAAACACACTTCTTCCATTATGCATCCTCCAAAAATTACAGTTTCATTTATTTTGCTCCTGTATCTTGAATTTTCATTTAAAATTGTTGTTTTTTAAATGACACCATAACTCATTGACTTGATTGCCAACAGAGGTGCCAAGAAATGACACTTGCCCAGAACTACCGGAGATCCCCAACGGATGGAAGAGCACGTCCCACCCCGACCTGATCCACGGCACCGTCGTCACATACCAGTGCTACCCTGGGTTCACGCTGGTGGGCTCCGAGATCCTCATGTGCCAGTGGGATCTCAGTTGGAGCGGTGATGTTCCAAAGTGTGATGAAGGTGAGAAGAAGTCAACTAAAGTTGAGTGACTTAAGCTGTGTGGCATTTCAGGTTTAGGATGGATTCAAGGTTTTGATGTTAGCGGTCAGTCAGAAGTGCACATGTACCAGTGTGCATTAAAAAAATGGGGCAAAAACTAAGAGGCATGACTGTCAGCATGTAAGATGGTATAGCATTTAAATTATCTGCAGAAGATGCAACAATTCAGCGCAAATCCCTGATCAAACTCACTGGTCAAGTTGAGTTGTAGATTACAAACTGATCCATGGCTAATGAGAAGAGAACACACAGTGTGCTTCAAAGTTTGTGAACTCTTTATAATTTTCTATATTTCTGCATAAATATGACCTAATACATCATCAGATTTTCACACAAGTCCTAAAAGTAGATAAAGAGAACCCAGTTAAACACATGAGACAAAAATATTATACTTGCTCATTTATTTATTGAGGAAAATGATCCAATATTACACATTTGTGAGTAGTAAAAGTATGTGAACCTCTAGGATTAGCGGTTAATTTGAAGGTGAAATTAGGGTCAGGTGTTTTCAATCAATGGGATGATAATCAGGTGTGAGTGGGCACCCTGTTTGATTTAAAGAACAGGATCTATCAACGTCTGCTCTTCAAATTATTTGTAGTGATTCTGTGTCTAACTTGTCGTGCATTAGATCAGGAACTTCAAAATCAAGACGGGATTTATTAATCAGAACTAAGCTTTCTCATTCTCAGCTGGTTAAGGAAGGAAGAAGTATTGTGTTTATGTGGGTACCTGCACATACAGGGATTCCGGGAAATGAAAAGGCTGATCAGATTGCTAAACATACTATTAATAGAGACAATGTAGACATAAATATCCAATTATGCAAAACAGAAGGTAAAAGTAGTGTATGGAAACATATTAATCAGTTATGGGAACAGAAGTGGGAACATGAAACAAGGGGAAGACAACTATATGCAATACAGAATACAGTCTACAGTTCCAGGTATTATGGAGGAAATAGGAGGGAGGAATCTATATTAGCAAGATTTAGAATAGGTCATACAAATCTGAACAGTACTTTGTTTATTATAGGGAAACATAATAGAGGACATTGTGACTTTTGCCAGAGTATAGAAACTGTGAACCATGTTATTTTGGACTGTTTTATAAATCCAGCTGAAAGGAAACATCTACTGGACAAAATGACAAATGAAGTAACAAGTCCTATATGTTTGAAGAGCATATTGGAATGGGGATCCAGTAAATATGGTCGCAAATACTTTATGTACGGTATTTCCTGAGGGCAATGGGTTTATGTAAGAGAATCTAAGTAGTTATAAGTACTAGTACCTTTAGATGGCGGTAATACACCTTGAGGTATGTACGCTGCCGTTAAACTTCACAGAAGAAGAAGAAGTCTGCTTTTCACAACATGTTTGTGGAAGTGGATCATGACAGGAATAAAGGAGATTTCTGAGGAGCTCAGAAAAAGAGTTGTTGATGCTCATCAGGCTGAAAAGTTACAAAACTATCTGTAAAGAGTTTGGACTCCATCAATCCACAGTCAGAGATTGTGTACAAATGGAGGAAACTGAAGACCATTGTTACCCTCCCCAGGAGTGGTGGACCAACAAAGATCACTCCAAGAACAAGGTGTATAATAGTCAGCGAGGTCACAAAGGACCCCAGAGTAACTTCTAAGCACCTGAAGGCCTCTCTCACATTGACTGATGTTGATGTTCATGAGTCCACCATCAGGAGAACACTGAACAACAATGGTGTGCATGTCAGGGTTGCAAAAACAAAGAACATTGCTGCTCATCTGCAGTTTGCTAAAGATCACGTGGACAAACCAGAAGATTGCTGGAAGAACATTTTGTGGACAGATGAGACCAAAATAGAACTTTCTGGTTAAAATGAAAAGTGTTCTGTTTGGAGAAAAGAAAACTCTGCATTCCTGCATAAGAACCTGATCCCATCTGTGAAATATGGTGGTGGTATATCATGATTTGGGGCTATTTTGCTGCATCTGGGCCAGGACGGCTTGAAATCATTGATGAACAATGAATTTTGAATTATATCAGAGAATTATAAAAGGAAAATGTCAGAACATCTGTCATGAACTGAATCTGAAGAGAATGTGGGTCATGCAGCAACAATGACCTTAAACACACAAGATGTTCTACCAAAGAATGGTTCAAGAAGAATAAAGTTCATGTTTTGGAATGGCCAGGTACTGAAAGAAAAGGTTCACATACTTTCACCGCTCACAAATATGTAATACTGGATCATTTTCTGCAATAAATAAATGACAAAGTACAATATTTTTGTCTCATTTGTTTAACTGGGTTCTCTTTATCTACTTTTAGAACTTTTATGAAAATCTGATGTTTCAAACTTTCAAGCACCACTGTGTGTGGAGCATTAAGAGTTTATAATTTTTTTTTGATCTATTTATAATAGGTTATGAATAAAAGAGTTGCCCTAACTGTGCATAACTGACTAACTATAAATAAGCAACTATTGCTGTTAAGATCACACGTCCCTTCAGAATCTCAAAGCTTCAATCCAAAATAGATTTTCATAAAGAAAACAGGTTCTTCAAGTGCTACTAAAGATTTTATCCTTTTTTTTATCTTACCACCATTTATTTTTCATCCACCTCAGTTTTGTGGTGAATATTCGTGAACTTCAATAGAAAATAACACCTTAAGACATTAGGCATCAGAGAAAAAATAAAATAAAATTCTCCATGTATCAAACACATGTTTCATTTTTAACAGTTTCTACACACAATTTGGTAATAACTGGCAATAATTTAACATTCCTTTATGCCCAGATGTGCAGCACCAAGCTGTTTGTTTTATAGACTTTATATAAGCTACATTCCTTTTTAAAATAAATTCTCTTATTTGTTTCTAACCACTTTTATGTTCTCACACAGACGTTTGACTTGACAGATGACATTTACCATGCCCTAAAATAATTTGCTCATGTTTATAATAATAATAATAAAAAAAAAATAAAAACGGTTTGGGTGTCATCATGCCTGATTCACTGTGGAACTGTCACAGTTGGCGTACGTTTGGACCCAGATGCAGGCAAGCACGAGGAGCAAAGGAGGTTCAAGTAAAAATGTATTTATTAAACAAACAAACAAAAAATTAAAAGTTGGCGTGGAAGCAACAACTTACATCTTAAAGAACACAGGGTAAGACGAGAGGAGGACTGAGACAGATGGGAAAGCAAAGCAATGACCTGCAGTGAGGCGGTGACAAAAACTGGCTATATATATATATATAGAGAGAGAGAGAGGAAAGTGGAAACACCTGAAACTGATTAGTGATAGCAGACAGGTGAGAGAGGCAGGCAGGACTGGAAAAACACTGAGAGCTCACTGAGGGCAGAATAGTCATGATCCACTGAAATAAGGATTGATCTAATACAGAAACACAAAAAGATAAGAGTCTAAACTAACCAGGGTAGATACAAGAAACAGAAACTCACTAAGTGATAATCACGAAAATAACCAAATTACACACCATCCATCTATTATTTTTACCCGCTTCTTCTATTTTGGGTCACTGGGGTCACCGGTGCACATGTCCGGCAATCATTGTACGGGGGGCGGGGTACACCCTAGACAGGTCTCCAGTCCATCACAGGGAGACATAGAGACAAACAACCATTCCCTCTCTCACTCACACCTAGGGACAATTTAGATTTACCAATCAGCCTAACATGCATGTTTTTGGTCTGTGGGAGGAAACCGGAGTGCCCGGAGAAAACCCACGCATGCACGAAGAGAACATGCAAACTCCACCCAGAAAGGCCCCCCAGACCAGGATTTGTACCGGAGACCTACTCACTGAGAGGCAGCAGTTCTACCAGTTGCGTCACCGTGCTGCCCATCAAACAAATCATCGAGTAAAAAAAAAGACAAACACATCCATCACAAAGCAGACAAGCAGTCTGTATAAACAGTATATACAAATAATAATTTAACTGTATTTATCTGAGGGACAGACTGCTTTGAGTTTAACTCCATCACAGAACTCTCATCTTGAGCAAGCATGAAGGCGACAGTGGAAAGAAAAAACTCCCTCATGAGGAAAAAACCTTTAGCAGAACCAGGCTCAAGACAAGCGGCCATCTGCTTCGACTGGCTGGGTTTGAGAGGAACAGGAAGAAGGAACAGATACACAATGGCAGGTCCAGAATCACATGTTAAGATAGAAATAGTATCAAATGAAAACTATTCATTGTAACAATTAATTTAAGGAAATTAGGTAAATGTATCCTCCAGTAGTCTAAGCCTATAGCAGCACAACAAGCCAGCCCTAACTATAGGATTTATCAAAAAGGAAAGACTTAATCCCAGTCTTAAAACTGGACAATGCGTCAGACTCACAGACAGAAACTGGAAATTGGTTCCACAAGAGAAGAGCCTGATAACTGTCTTCCTCCCATCTTCCTCCCATTGTGATTTTATAAACTCTAGGAACCACGAGTAAACCTGCAATCTGAGAGTGAAATGCTCTGTTAGGAAAATATGGAACAATAAGATCTGTAATATAAGATGGACCTAGGTTGTTGATTGCTTTAGAGGTTAAAAGTAAGATTTTGAATTCAATTCTGGACTTGAATGAAAAGTAAATTAACATAGAATTGTTGACACAGTTGTGAGTCTGACATTAATAATGCACAAATTCAAGCATCTAAAGAACTAAAATATATGAATAAAATACAGAACAACATTTTATTTCCGCCTAATTGCCATTCAAAGGAGAACCAGCGGGACATTAAAAGTGAGGAAGGTCATGTTCCTGCTTCAGCTGGTGCATCATTCATAAATAAACTGTTAGACTGATAAAGTCCCAGCAGAACAAATATTAACCCTCACACTATAATAATATGGGAACACATCACAAAACTGATTAAACTGGTCCATTCATAACATTCACTGACGCTGATGCATGCAACTTATTATAAATACCATGGCACTTTTCTGTTCCTCTGCTTCTACCACCATCAAGCTGTAAAACGATATATTTTTTTGTTCTTGTTTCATCCCACAAGTTCTGACATGTCGAGATCCTGGAAACGTGGAGCACAGTCGCAAAGTAATCACAGGCAGCCGCTTCTCCGCTGGGTCAACAGTCCAGTTCGTCTGCAACAAAGGCTACGTCCTCTCTGGCTCCAGTATCCTCACCTGCTACAACCGAGACACCGCCACGCCCAAATGGAGCGACAGGCTGCCCAAGTGTGTCCGTAAGTTACGTACAGGATATTTAACCCACCTCACGTCCTCGCTGAGCCAACATAGACTTCTGTTTTCTCTCCTGTGCTGCTCAGCTGAAAAGTACGAGCCGTGCCGAAACCCCGGCGCAGCCTCCACCAGCACGCAGAGCTCTGAAAAGGCCTTTTACCAAGCGGGAGAGACGTTAACGTTCTCCTGCCACACGGGCTACGAGCTGCAGGGAGGGGCCACCATCTACTGTGTCCCTGGACACCCGTCGCAGTGGAACAGCACCCCTCCTGCCTGCAAAGGTGAAACAATGACTGTTGGAAGAGAACAGCATCAGTGCCTGGACATAGAAAATCCACCAGAACTTTCCTGTGTGACATTGACTTTGCAGCTGTTCTCCTGCTTCTGTCTTTGACCAATATTCAATTGTTTGTTTGCAGCATCCTCAGCGCAGTATGTGAATGAGCGCAGGCTTGATGGTGAGCCGTGTAGCCGTTTATGTTGTTTCTTTGTTTGTTGAAAATTGCACACAAATAATGTTTTGTGTGTTTTCCCACTCCTTCAGTTCTTAATATGGATTACAGCATGGAGGGAACCAATATCACTCTTGCAGTTTTTATTCCAACCGCCATAATCCTGGTGGTTGTTTTGGGGATTTACGTCTACTTTGCAAAGTAAGAGCCGACTAAACATTAATCTGTTTCATTTGTGATCAAAAGCTTTTTTTTTTTTTTTTTTTTTTTTTACGGGACGTTCTATGGTTCTCTTCCCTCTTTGCTCAGACTTCAAGGAAAGTCTATCCGCATGCCGACGTCCTCGCCCCCGTACGACAACATGACAGAAGAGTCGGCGTTTGACAACCCCGTCTATGAGAGCGGAGTAAGTACAGATGTCATGAGCATGCAAGATGTTGAGTCACAGGACACCAGTGTGCTGTCGTGATCCTCTCCCATCTGGCTGTCATCTCCCGCGTCATCTCATGTTGCACCAGCAGAGGGCGCCATTCTCCTCATCCTCCATGGCCACGCTCATCAGCAGCAGGAGCAAAAAGGACATTTTCTTTCATCCTCCTCTGAGGTCAGAGGTCATATACAAACTGGATTGTTCATGCTTCATCTGGGAGTGAAACAGTGGACATGTTGTTTCCATTCCACTTTTCCTTCCATGTGTTCTACATCTAACCTCGTTTTTTAGGTTAATAAATGTTTCCACATGGGTTTTCTCTTTATTATTGTTTTTTTTTTTTTTTGGTTCTTTAGCAGTGGCAGACTCGTAATAGATACTAAACCCTCTCAGTATTTGGCTTTACTGCAAAACAACTAAAAGGTGAGTTGTTGTCTTTTAATTGTTGAATTTGAGAGCACATCAGACTCACTGTTTATTGTTCAACAAAGCTTTTTTGTTGTTTATGGTTTTGTTTGTTGTTGTTGTTGTTGTTGTTGTTGTTGTTGTTGTTTTGCAATTGGCCATTTTTCTTGACAGCAAACTAATCTTTTTTTTGTTGTTGTTAATTTCCTATGCATTGTTTAGTGATTAATGATTAATCTTTTTAAGTTCACAGCCCTTTTATTAGCTGCCTAAAACTTTTACACAGTGCTCTAACTCGTACATTAAAATTCAAATTATAAAAAAGTTAAGGACGGTATTCTTTCAGTCATCTTAACCCATCCAGAAAATTGATTAAAATTTGAAAAAAAAAACCACATTTAAACTAAATTGTTTTAGTGTTTATTCATATTTCTCTTGACAGTTGTCATGATTTGTTTTTGTGAATCTAATAGAATTATTTATACGTATGTGAGTGTGTTTGTTGTAACTAGTGATAATGTGCAATAATCTTTAATTAAAACTCAGCAAGGTCCACCCAAATAACGTTTTTCTCAACATTAGGTCCAGAATTTATCTTTATAGTTAAAGTTTATTTAAGCGACAGCCATGCTAAATGTCTTCTTTTATTATGTTGGTTTTAAATAACTGTACCTCACCGATGGCTGGCAGCTTCTCTCCACAGAGACAAACCGCGGGTCAGACGTGTGAATTTCTGGACAAACCTCCTAAAATGAATAATCGTAAATGCCGCAATAGTTTGAGCAACACAAATAAATTGCCATAAATGCTAGAATTGCTATGCCCCTTAAAATAAATAGCTGTAAATGTTGCGTAAGCTGCACCTCCTTATCTGGATGATCAAAACTTATATAAAAGCTGCAATGCCTAAAATGTGTCATCATCAAACGCTTCACTGTTTATTTTACATTATCATTGTTGAATTAAACTAACAATATAAGAAAATGTATTTTTAATTTTCAAGTTCTGTAAACTGTTTTTTGTATGTGTTTTAAATCAACACAACAGTATTATTTGAGCTGCTGTTTTTATTGTATTGTGTTGAAGTTGAGTGATACATAACTTATTCCTTTATCATAACTGTTCCACCCTCTGGTATTTAACATGTGTATTTGTAATAATTGTCTGTCTGGTCTCTACAGGACAAACGATAAAGATAAAGAGGTGTCCATTTAAAGACCTTAAAGCAGGAACTGTTCAAGCTTTGCCTTGTGGGACCCTCTCTGCACTGCTCATGTTTATCTCCGACTCTTTTCTTTTTTCCTTTTCCAGTTTGAATTCAGTTTCATCCCCCCGTTTGTTTGTATTCATGTAAATAAGTGTTATGTCCTCTTTTTTTTTTTTTGCAGAGTCATATCTGTGAATCTATGTAACACCATGGTGATATTTTTATACAGAAAGTTGTTGATGACCATTGGTGACTGTATGTTTTTTGAGTACTTTTGATGGCCTAAGCAAGTAATATTTAGAAAGTACTGCAAGTTTTTATTTGAGAAGGATTCACTGATTGCCGACATCCATTGATTAAATCCCCCATCAAACAGTCTTTGTAAACTTTGCCGTTATTTCTTTGTCTTCTTTTAGTGTGTGTGAGAGAGTGTGTGTGTGTGAGCTACTTGTAAATAAACTGCCTGTCTAATAAGAGTGCCTCATGACTGATGATAAACCTGAGAAAATCACATGTGAAGTTGTTTGTAAAACCAATTCAACCATCAGTTTCGATATTTCTCGGCTTTCCGTAGCACTGCATCTTCAGTTCAGCTTTTCTTCCTTCGTTTATTGTCTTTTCAAGATATTTATCAAAGGGTGACTCCAAATCCCCGAGAAGGATTTATTACTTGGAGCACGTTGGTTTTGAATATAACTGTTCTTACTGAGTATTAAACCATACATTTGCCTCAGATTATACTGTTACAGTCCAAGATGCAAATAAAATAACATCTAATGGATTAATTTATGGTACAACACTTACCGTACTTTGACACACTGGTACAGGTTTTAAGAGGTAAATGTCAGCTCGGTGTGTTACGAAAACAATTTGTGAAGCTGCGGTGCATCTGCTGGTGTTACGTTTGTAGCCAGGACTCATCTCCTTTGTGCTTTTTTTTTATTTTTTTTTTTTTATTTCTGACACTGTTTGCTTTCAGCATCACAGCTGCTGCAACCCCACCCAGGAAATCCAATCCCTCTCATTCCCTGAATAATATAATAAAATAAACTGTTGTTTTAACCGTTGTCACTGATTTATTAATGACAGAAACATCTAAGACACTAACTGTTATTTTAGGTTCTTGATTCAGTAATTTATAATTGAAGTGTGTATGTTTCTGCTCCTTTTCTACTCATGGAATCTTGGTTTAACATGTACATGCGGATTTTATCCACTAGATGGCAGAATTGTAACATGTAGCACTTCAGCTCTTCCTCACTTTTCAATTCAACAAAAGTCTGGAAATACATAGTCTGTAATATACCTATTTTATCTAAATTGTGTCTGATAAATACCTCAAAACAACATTTATTGAGAGACATCAAACAAGCAATGCCTAAAATACTGAAAGTGTGAACAAGTTTAGATTCTCAGTCAAACTAATGATAATCCAGCAATGACACTTGAAAGCAATACAGCTTCTTTTAGTGATTATTGATGATCAAAATAAAGTCTTGCCTTCAATTAAACTTCTAAAAATTGAGAATTTACCCCTTATATTGAAAGACTGAGAGGAAACCACATTATCCAAAAATGCTGAATATAATAGTTCCAGTTGGGAGACAATTTAGAACTGAGAGAACTAGTGCGGATGTCCCAAACAGGTTATTTTTTGCCGCCGATCACGAATACCGATCACATGGATTGGTTGTAAAGCTTTGGATTTAGTTAAGATGAGTGCTTTGCTGCGTGATCTGGACAATAGGAACCATAAAAACACCTTAATTTGGACAAAAACATGTTTAATTTACATTTTCAAGACTATATATATATATATATATATATATATATATATATATATATATCTATATATATATATATATATATATATATATATATATATATATTCAAATTCAAAATACTTTATTAATCCCAGAGGGAAATTATTTGTTGTAGTAACTCGTTATCCTCATTTCATTAAGAGATGTTATAGATACTGATGACTGTAGGCAGGAAGGATCTCTTGTAAAGGTCCATCCCACAGTGGATCCTAAAAAAACTGGCTGCAGATGCCGTCCGATACATCCACCCAGACTTGGCTGGCCTCTCGGTTCCCCCGGGCTGTAGGACCACCCAAATGTAGGGCAGAACTCCTCCCAGAGCCATGACCACTCCTCCCAGCAGTCTGCTGAGCTCCTCGTCGCTGCGGACAGCCAACTGTAGGTGCAGAAGGACGGTCCTTCCGCTGTCATGACTCATGTTTCCTGCTTGCTCCAGGATCTCAGTGGTCAGGCACTCGAGCACAGCTGGCAGGTAGATGAGAATGTGTCCACAGAGCATCCTTTTCAACTCATTTGAGATTTGGGGCTGTAGTCGAGATATTATTTGAGCTTTTGAGATGTTAATCAGCTGATGTTGGGTGTAGAAAATTGCCTTGTTGCCATGGTTATGTATCATGACAAATGTCCAAAACTAAAAAAGTTTCAGTAAAAATCTTTCCAGCTGCTCAGCATCAGATACCAGAGGAAACAATCATCCAAAAAATGTGATTTACATCCAGAAAAAGAGGAATTAAAGTTTCCAAAAGTAAAATCTCAGAATGAAAGTAACAGAGCTGCTCCAGCATGCAGCCACCTTGAGCAGCTCAATTCTAGAACACTAGAATACAGTGCCTTGTGAAAGTATTCGGCCCCCTTTAACTTTTCAAACTTTTGTCACATTTCAGGCTTCAAACATAAAGATATAAATTTTTTATTTTTTGTGAAGAATCAACAACAAGTGGGACACAATTGTGAAGTGGAATGAAATGTATTGGATGTGTCAAACTTTTTTAACAAATAAAAAACTGAAAAGTGGGGCGTGCAATATTAATCGGACCCTTTACTTTCAGTGCAGCAAACTCACTCCAGAAGTTCAGTGAGGATCTATGAATGATCCAATGTTGTCCCAAATGACTGATGATGATAAATAGAATCCACATGTGTGTGTAATCAAGTCTCTGTATAAATGCACCTGCTCTGTGATAGTCTCAGGGTTCTGTTCAAAGCGCAGAGAGCATCATGAAGACCAAGGAACACACCAGGTAGGTCCGAGATACTGTTGTGGAGAAGTTTAAAGTTGGATTTGGACACAAAAAGATTTCCCAAGATTTAAACATCCCAAGGAGCACTGTGCAAGCAATCATATTGAAGTGGAAGGAGTATCAGACCACTGCAAATCTACCAAGACCCGGCCGACCCTCTAAACTTTCATCTCAAACAAGGAGAAGACTGATCAGAGATGCAGCCAAGAGGCCCATGATCACTCTGGATGAACTGCAGAGATCTACAGCTGAGGTGGGAGAGTCTGTCCATAGGACAATAATCAGTTGTACACTGCACAAATCTGGCCTTTATGGAAGAGTGGCAAGAAGAAAGCCATTTCTCAAAGATATCCATAAAAGAGT